TCGAAAAGCTTAATTAAATATGGCTTTAAAACTAATCATCATGTAGCATAATTCTATAATGATCCAGTTACCTCAGAGTGCCTTCTTTCGAATGGACTTACTTCTGACTGCATGCAAGAACTACACTCTGCAGGAAATGACTACTTAAGTATCAAGAAATTCTCCAAATTATTTTTTATGCTCCTAAAAATTCACTTATATTTCATGGAAACATGCATAAAAATATTCCTTCCTTTGCTTTTTCTAATTCTCGAATAATTTTGAACCCGACCTGCTGTTACACTTGCATTCAGGTTTTAAAACCACAAGCTGTATATTTTCCGTGTACGGAAAACCATACATTTCTCTACGGTATTAAGAGGAGACCATATGGAGTTCATAAAATTAAGCAGTGGATTTTAGCAACATTGTTAACTTTACAAGCCACATTGGCAAATGCAGATACATGACGTTTTATGAACGGCCATTTCGCGGTATTAAAAAATCTAACAATTCGAACTTTCTTGAAACCGAATTACACTCCTGCTTCGAGTATAAAATTGAAAGAAAACGTAATTCTCTACCGAATAAGTAAAAGAATAAAAATTGTTTTGCATTTTTTTCAGGAAATATAATTGAACTTTTAAGGGCATCGAAGATCAATGAGGAAATTGCATGCTAATTAAGTAGTCATTTTTTGCAGAGCGTAGTTCCTGCATGCAGCCGAAAAGAAGTTTGCTTGAAAGAAGGCACCCTGAAATAACTGGATCATTATAGAATTTTGTTGCAGGCCGATTAATCTTACAACCCTACTTAATTAATCTTTTCAAAACGAAAACGCATGCCGAAATTTAGGCCGACATTTCATGAGTTAGCCCACCTACTGTAAGTTCTACCGTCGATTCCGAGGATCTGCATCGCGCAATCCGCAGCAAGGACGGTGACTAGCGCTTCATCCGCCGCAGCCTCCCCTCCCTCGGCCACCTGAGGTGCAGGTGGTTGGCGTACCTACAGTGCGTGACCGATCTCATACTTCGTTCACTCTGTGTATGCAAAAATTCCATAAGTCATTTCACGGCAAGTCCGCGCCAGATAGAAGCATACAGGCTAAAGGAACTGTCAAATTCTGATTTCTTGCTAAGCGGACAGTGCATGACCGACCAAAGGTTTGTTATGCGTTTTCGATTAGGGAGGATTACTTAGGCGGGGTTGCAATACTGATTGTCATGCAGCATAATCCTGTAGTATTTAGAACTCCCCAGGGTGTCGTCTTCGGATGCACTTCTTTCCGACCTTCTGCAGAAACCACACTCGGTAAAAAATGACAACTTAAGTAGCATGCATTTTTCACACTGATTTTCGATGGCCTTATAAATTCAAATATATTTGATGGAAAAAATGCATAAAAGTATGCTTTCTTTTATTCGTTAAGTAGAAAATCACGTTGTATTTACATTTTAGGTTCGAAGAGAGAGCATATTTAGGTTTTGAAAAAGTTCCTTAATCCCCGAATAATTTCGAGTCTGATCAGACGTTGCATCAGCGTGTAACGATTTCTTTCTACAAGGTTCGTGCTTTCCTCGTAAGGAGAATCATATATCCCTCTATGCCTTTATAAAGATACCAAATAGAGTTCAAAAAATTTTGCAATGAATGCAGACTATGTTATAGATTTCATGAGGAGCACTGGCAAACGGATATGTGCGATTCTGTGTGTATGGACATCGCACGGTCTTAAAACTTTCATAATTTAAAAATTTTCAAAACGAAGGATAACCTTTCTTAGGACAGGTACGATGCTATATGAATAGACATTGCGCGATCTTAAAAAATCTCATAATTGGAAACATTTTAAAAGCGAAAGATAAACTTTCCTAGAGCATCATATGTGAGGACAATGTGACTTTCTAGCAAACAAATAAAAGAAATCATATTTTTGTGCATGTTTTCCACAAAATATATTTGAATTTACAAGACCATCGAAAATCAGTGTGAAACATGCATGCTTCTTAAGTTGTCATTTTTTTCTGAGTGTGGTTTCTACAGGAGGTCGAAAAGAATTGCATTCAAAGACGACATCCTGGAGAGTCCTAAATACTACAGGATTATGCTGCCTAATAAGCAAAATTACAATCCCACCTAATTAATCCTTCCTAATCGAAAACGCATAACAAATTTTGCAGCCAACATTTCATGAGATCGTCCTCGTGGACTTGCCGGTTTGGCGCCTGAGTAAACTGCCGCACAGTCCTAACTTTCTCCAGTACGTATGAGTACCACAGAAGCGGCTTGTCTTTGCACGAGATAGGATCTTAAACTCCAACCTCGGCTTCACAGTGTACCAACGAGTGCTTAACGACTGAGTATTGAAAAACCTTGTTTTCCTGCTCCCAGCAGTCAGGCTAAATGATGTTTATTCGGACATATTTCTGAATGCCCTGGAGTTTACAAATTATTTTTAAAAGAGCAGCTAGATGAAGACCCATTCTCGCAGTTCGCGATGGCGAGCATATGCAGAGCGCATTCAATCAATATGACCGGAGCTTGCCATAATAGTGGTCAGGAACGCATGCTTGGCGGTGACGTATTCTCGTTCGCTCGAGTTATGCGAACCTCAGTCATTTGGCTTGGAGGCAACAGCAACCACGAACTGAAGGCAAGTGCTGATTAACATCTTCAAACCTGACATCTTTGTTTTGCGTGAACATCTTAGGATGCAGTCGCCATGCTACCGCATAGCTATGACTATTCACGGCCCTCCCCCTTCATCAGGGATCGTTGCACTTGGTGTGATGATTGTTTGATGGCCCACATTCGCGTTGTTAATTGCTTCAATTTAATCACGAGCCCCCATCCCCATTTATTATGAGTGGGCAGCACGATACTTCGTTCTGACCCTGATCTGGCCCCCGTGTTGGTCCCGCGAGGCACCCGCGCGAACTGTTGGGGGAGGGGGGGGGGCGGGACAGCGCTTACTGTCAGGTGTCCGAGAAGGGGGAGGGGAACATCGATGACGCTCCCCCCCCCCTGCCGTTCATGGCCAACACATCCGCTTTCATTTGTCCGGTCTCCTGTAGAGGTCGGCAACTCCCATGGCCGGGGACTTTAAACTTCTATCTGAACATTGCTGCTGTGACATCAGGGTACTTCAAAAAGAAGGAGAAGGAGTTACTTAAGGAAGGAAGCTGAGCACAGGTAGGGTTCACGCGATTTGTCCATGTTGTTGTTCTGCAAATTCGGGCGGTTCTTGCACCTACTATGACGTCTTCTCTCTGCCAGTGTTTAACCATCTGTTAAGTGATCTACACATCGTGAAAGCGACGACTACCTAATGCACTAAGGTGACTCACAACGTCAGGATTATCTGCTAGGAAATTTTTAAACCAGAGGCCGAACTTACCCCTCGCGCAAAAGTTGTCTGGGTGTGGGGGAGCCATTCTAACTCTAATCGCCTGTGGCTTTTCTCTTACCTTCTAATGCGTTAAAGTGGCCTCATGCTTTGAAGCGAGATATGTGAATCTCCAGCCTAATGTATCTTAAAAATAACTATAGCTCCTGACTGGACAACCAAGAAACATGAATTTTGGAGCTTATTTATACTCAACCCATGCTTTACTTCTTACTGTACTTCTAGTGGGGGATTTACTGGTCTGGCCCAAATAGATACCACATGGAACGTTGAGTCTTAATTAATATGTACTTTTCAATGTTCTGTGGACCTACTCAGCACAAGTCGGCGTTTAATCAAGAGAATACGGGAACACCTCCCGGCATGGCTGGGTAAAGGCGAAAGTAGGAGCATAAGCAGCGCCATTCTCGAGCATGTTGTCGATTCCGGACATCATGTAGACCCCAATGAAGCGTTTAGTGTGATCTTCATACGCATCCCTGCATATGCTTCGAGCTCCGCTTCCGCTCTCTTTTTCTTCCTAATCCAGAGAGTAGCCAAGTTAGGTATGATAGCTGATATTTTTTCAGTAAGCTAGCCATATGGTATAAATCAAGTGGGGCTGCAGAACCAAACCTCGCCAAAGTTTCTCCCACTGATGTCAGGTGTTTTAGCAAACTATCCACATGCCATTAATCGAGTGGGTCTGCAGAACCAAACTTCGCCCAAAAAGTACACTTTCCCTGTGCCCAGTAGTTGTATTTCACAAAAGCCCATTTTTTGCAAATTTCACAAGACGTGGACTGCTCCAATCCCATTGTAGGGCGGATAGAAAATAAATGGAGAGACATGGGTATAGGTACACCTCTCTGTATTACCGGTGGTCTTGAGCTTATTTCCAGGTGGTTAGGGCAAAGTTCAGGGCTAACACACAGGTGTAGGCATCCTTCCCAACATTTAACATTCATTACGGCGAGATACCGTCTTCTTCTGACTTTTTAAGACCGCGAAATGTCCATTCACATAGCATCGTACCAGGCCGTTTACCACTGCTCCTCATGAAATGTACAACATGGTCCGTATCCATTGCAAAATTTTATGGACTCTGTATGATACGTCTTTAAGGGCATAGAAAAATGTGTGATTTTCTTTACGCGGAACGCATGCAACTTGTAGACTGAAATCACTAAGCGCTAATGCAACGAATGATCAGGCTGCAAATTATTCGACAATTAGAAAACTTTTTTAAAACCTAATTATATTCCTTTAGGACCTAATTATAGTCCTTCCTTAAGCATAAAATATAAAGAAGACGTGATTCTCTATTGATTTACTAAAAGAAGGTTTATGTTCGTTTATGCTTTCTATAAAATATATTTGAATTTCCAAGATCATCGAAAATCAATGGGAAAAATGCATGCTACAAAAGTAGTCGTTTTTTACCGAGTACGCTTTCTACAGGAGATTAAAAAAGAAGTTCATTTAAAAGCCGACATCCTGCAGAGTCCGAAATGTTATAAGAGTATGCCTTAAGATAATCAGTCGTTGCGAATCCACAACAACCGTTCACGAACTTCTCTTCGCCGACGACTGCGCCCTGAACACCACCTCGGAAGAGAAGATGCAACGGAGCATGGACCTATTCGCCGCCGCCTACGAGAACTTCGGTCTGGTCATCAACACGCAAAAGACGGTGGTGATGCACCAAACGCCACCCAACTCAGCCACAGCCCCCAACGCGCCGCACATCAACGTGAATGGGACCCAACTGGAAGTGGTGGAGAACTTCCCGTATCTGGGCCGTACCCTCTCCCGCAACACCAAGATTGATGACGAAGTCGCCAACAGGATCTCGAAAGCCAGTCAAGCCTTCGGACGCCTCCGAAGCACAGTCTGGAATCGCCACGGTCTTCAACTGAGCACGAAGCTAAAGATGTACAAGGCCGTCATCCTGCCGACGTTACTGTACGGAGCAGAGACATGGACGGTGTACACGCGGCAGGCACGCCGACTGAATCACTTCCACCTCAGCTGTCTCCGTCGCATCCTGAGGCTGAACTGGCAGGATCAAATCCCCGACACCGATGTGCTGGAACGGACGGGAATCCTGAGCATCTACTCCATGTTGAGACAAATGCAGCTGCGCTGGAGCGGCCATCTGGTGCGCATGGACGACGAGCGACTACCCAAACGACTCTTCTACGGAGACGTCGCGACGGGTTCTCGTCGTCAAGGAGGCCAAATTCGCCGTTACAAGGATACTCTGAAGTCCTCCCTGAAGCGCCTGCAAATCAACCCGACCAACTGGGAAGAGCTCGCTCGCGATCGTCCGACATGGAGGAGAACAGTGAAGACGGGCGCTGCTCTCTACGAAGCCAACCGCATCGCCGCCGCCGCCAAAGTGAAACGCGAAGCCCGCAAATCACAACTTCGCCCAGTCCGCAACGCCGCCGCACAACCTCCCCTACGTGTCCTCGATGTCAACGGACATTCCGGGCACGAATCGGACTTGTTGGACATCTTCGAATCAACTGTGCCTCTCGAACTGCTCCAGCCATCGTCCCCCCGCCCGCCTCTTCCTCGTCCTCTCTACCACCAACTAACTCTGATAACTCTTCTGAACCACCACTTCCATCCTCCTCCTTCTCCTCCACTGCCCCAGCGGTGGCCGTTCAGGCTGCCGTCTCACACATCGCCAACCACGACACAACAACCGCAACCACCCCCACCCCTCCCGATTCCAGTGATGAGGATCAGGACTACACCTGCCCTCACTGCGACCGCACCTTCACTTCACGCATCGGTCTGGTCGGTCACATGCGAATCCATCGCACAGAGACTGGCGAACCAGTGCCTGGAGCACCAACCTACACTCACCGCACTCGCCTCCACTGCCCACACTGCCCTCGCACCTTCCGGCATCGCATGGGTCTACTCGGTCACATGCGCATCCACGAGAGCGGAGTTGACCACAATTCCGATACAGCCACGACATCCAAAACATCCAACACGCCCAGACCCATCCTCGCTCCACTGTCACACGCGCCGACCACCGCCAACACCACTGCTTCCTCTACAGCTGACACCGACACCGCCGACCTCTCATGCCCACATTGTCCACGCACCTTCACCTCACGCATCGGCCTGGTCGGTCACTTGCGAATCCATCGCACAGAGACTGGCGAACCAGTGCCTGGAGCACCAACCTACACCCACCACACTCGCCTCCACTGCCCACACTGCCCTCGCACCTTCACGCATCGCATGGGTCTGTTCGGCCACATGCGCATCCACAACGACCTGCGGTAGACAACCGCCGGTCACACCACACATTCCCTCACTCCCTACCTCCTAACACCATCATCCCACCAGACATCAAACCTCACACACCTCATGCACTCAACTGCCGCCTCCCACGCAAGTGGGAAGTGTGCATCTCGACTCGGTCCCCATGCGGCTTCGGCTGCACGGGTGACTTGTGTCCGAGACTATCCCGACACGTCAAGCGTCGTGGATAGGAAGGTTGCTGATTGAGGCCCGCTCTCGGTTCACGCAGTTCGTCACGTTGTGTGTGTGTGTGTTGTGTGTAGTGGCGGACTGGTGGGCTGCGGACGGGCTGCAACAGCACCTTCCACGGCCCTCTCACGCATGTGAGAGACACGCCGTTCAACCCCCGTTGTGTGAAATCCTGGTGTTTGTGTGTCCATGGGGGGCCAGGTCGTGCTGTGGCATGGTCAGTCGACCATGTCAGCCCCCGCGCCCATTCCCCACTCCAGTCTGCTGACCGGCTCGGACAGTGGCTGGGGTGTGGGAATGGGAAGGGAGAGTGAGGTCGACGACTCAGCGCATTTTCCTCACTATAATCAATCTGACGCGCTTGAAGCTATCACGGTGCGCTAAAAGCCGTGGCTTGGAAGGTTGCCAACTGACGGGGTAACTTGGACCTCCTCCATTACTGGAGGCGGTCTGAGAGTCAGGCTGCAATGGTTCCTTTTTAATGTGGCCTTTATGGCATTCCCACCACAGTGTGGGATCCGAGCCAGGCGTTGGCGGCACGCCCAGGTGCGGCTTCGGCCGTGCCAGCCTCCAAATCTCTGTTGTGTTGGTTGAAATCCTGGTCATTTGTGTGTGGACCAGGGGGTGCGGAGTGGAGCGCCAAGGTGAGGATCCGTCCGAGCCATCCACCTGCGGCCTCCCTCGTCTCCGGTCTTCTTGACTCCGGGTCTTGACACCGGGCTCAGGCGGGGGAGGAGGAGAGAGTGTAGGTAGATGCTACGCAAGTCTACTGGCACTATAAACCCCTGCGTAAGTCACCGTCCCTGCTCCCACCGCTGCTGCAGCTGTGGGGCACACGGTGGACATCGTCGAAATCGACGGTCGAACTGTCGTGTGGAGTGGCCGACTTGTGGGCTGAGAGCCAAACTATAAAGTCTCCTTCTGAACTTGACGTATGGCATTCTCACGCATGTGAGCTTCGCGCCGCTCAACCCCTTTGTGCGATAGCCTGGTGCTTGTGTTTGGGGTGCAAGGTCGTGCATGTGGCGGGCTCAGACAGGGTCAGCCACCGCGCTCATTTCCCTCTCAAGTCAACTAACCGGTTCGAACAGTGGCTGAGGCACGGGATTGGGGAGGGAGAGAGAGGTCGACGACTCAGCTCACTTTCCTCACTATAAACAATTTGACGCGCTTGAAGCTATCACGGTGCTCTAAAAGCCGTGGCTTGGAAGGTTGCCAACTGACGGGATAACTTGGACCTCGCGTCGGCCCAGTGTTGTGTGTGCTGCAGTTGTGGAGTGGCCGGCTGTTGGTCTGAGAGTCAGACTGCAATGGCTCCTTCTTAACATGCCCTTTGTGGGACTTCCACTTCGTGTGATTCGAGCCGGCTGCTGCGGCTTCGGAAGCGCCTGATAACTTCGACCTTCTCCCTGATGGACGTGTAAGCCGTGCCTGAGGCTATCAAGGTGTGTCAAGCGCCGTGGTATGCAAGGTTTCCGACTGACGCATCAACTCAATCCCCGCGGTCTGCCTAGTCCTGTGTTCATGTTTTCCCCAAAACGAACCACGCGGTAGATGCGCTGGACCATCACAGGGGCCACATCGGATCCTCGCAGGCGTTATCGGGTGTGCGTACCCCTACTAAATGCCAACACCTCGGGTTGCGGTGGCAGCCCCAGCTGCCGGCTGACTTCGTGCCATCTGGGATCTCTGTCGCCCCCCCCCCCCCAGCATTATTGTTCTGAACCCCTGTCGTGGAGCAGGGGTTGTGGTGGTACGCCTAGGTCCGGCCTCGGCCGCGTCAGCCGCCGGTCTTTTTTGACTATGTTTCGACACTGCGTCCAGTTGGAGGAGGATATGTGAGAGCAGTAGATGCAGTGCAAGTCTACGCTCGCTATAAGCCAACTCACGCGCAGGTCATCGTGCCTACTGCACCTCGCTGCGAAGCATAGGTTGGACTTCGTCGGAGGCAACGGTTAAACTGCGTGCGTGTGTGTGTGTGTGTGTGTGTGTGTGTGTGTGTGTGTGTGTGTGTGTGCACGTGCCCTCTAAACGGGCCACGTGTTAGATGCGCTGGACCAACAAGGGGGCCACATCGGACTCTGGCAGGCGTTATCTTTGCGCAATAACAAATGCCAACATTTGCGGGGTGCGCTGGCGGACCCTGTTGTCGGCATTCGTCGCACAACTGGACCACTGCCTCCACCCCATTGTTTTGTGGTCAAAATCCTGGTCATTTGTGTGTGGACCAGGGGGTGCGGAGTGGAGCACCAAGGCGAGGATCCGTCCGAGCCATCCACCTGCGGCCTCCCTCGTCTCCGGTCTTCTTGACTCCGGGTCTTGACACCGGGCTCAGGCGGGGGAGGAGGAGAGAGTGTAGGTAGATGCTACGCAAGTCTACTGGCACTATAAACCCCTGCGTAAGTCACCGTCCCTGCTCCCACC